AAATTATGTTAAAAAGTTACTTTAAGAACAACAACAGAAAAATGAAAAACAATGAATCATCAGGATACCAACTGCCTTTCAGCAATATATTTTATACTTCTAACAGAAATGCTTTACATATTTTTCATTTCCATTCTGAAACATTATTCAGATAATTAATGTCATTTTATTTCCAAAACCATATTCTGTTCCTATTAAGTAACATTTACTTAGCATAAAAGTTGTTGTATGCTAAAAAAATGCATTTTACATTATTATCTTTAAGTGTAGACAGGCCCACTAATCTGAATATCCCCTGTATGCAATATTTTTCAAACATAAACATGGAAAATAAAGTGAAGATTTTCTGAGACATCTGTATTTATCTCGGTTTTGTTGCATGTCACAAGAGGTATCCGTAAAGAGCTTCTAGTAAAAGATATACAAGATATAATGACATCTGATTTTCTGGTCAGGTAAGATACAGGTAATGGTACTACAAACTTCTCAGCTTCCACTAATATATCTCAACCATGATGTAAAGGGATGACTACCATATGATTTTTCAGTTCTTCTATTAAGATTGCAGGAAAAGATGCTAGTCCCAATACAGACTGGGAAACAGTTTAGCAAAAAAATGAACCTAATGTTGCCCTCAATTGCTTTTTCTTTTAAGGCCACAAAGCAGCAACAAAGTGACATCAGAAGAAGTGCCACATGTATTCAGTGTGGCAATTCAGACAACAGGTGCCTTACAGAAAAGTGCAGGCAGCTTTATTCAATACCCTACTGGAATTCCAGCATCCTCAGCACTCACTCTTTCTTTCCTTCAACCTCTTTTTTTTGCTTTAGGTGAGGGACTATGGGCCATTTTCGTTTGAAGCCATTTCTATGAACAAAACTGACTTCACAGAAGTGGCTTAGATACTCCACACTCTGAACTGGACTACAGTCTATTTAAAAGTAGACTGTAGACACTCTGAAATTGTCCACGGTTTAAAGTGTAGACACTAGTTTTGATAGAGTGCTAAATGCTGATCCAAGTGGCAAAATACACCAATTCAAGACACAATACTTAACTTTTTGTGTAAACCTCAGGTTATATTAGGTTGTTCTAACAGAGCTAAATCAATAGCAATAGCATTTTTCATTCCAAACTCATAGTGCATTTCTGTACCTGTCGGATGTCAGATGTTTTTGCCAACTTTTGACATTTCAGGGCTACAAACAGAGCACAAGGGCAGCAGCAGCAACCTTTTGGTTTGCTTTATCACGTGGTATTTCTCAACTATTGTTGACCCATCCAATTCTTGCAGTACCAATTGCGCCTTGTCTACAACACTCCTTAAATAATGAATTGTCTGAAGATAAAGGTACAAATGCAGCTGTGTTTCCATAACACATTGTTACACCACAAACACTAACCATAAGCAATAGAAACATCAGGACCAGATTTTGCAACAAGCAGGCTTAAAGGCCTTAACACTGCTCTCTAAAATGATAATACCACTTCAGTCTTGCCCATATAATAACATTTAAACCACATTTTCTATTCTAGAGCAGAACCACTTCCACTACAGATTTAAAAAAAAATAAAATTGTTTACAACAAAAAGTCTAAAATACGAAAAGGAAAACAATCGCTAATGAAACCTGTTCTTATCTCAAAAGCTGGTCTTGCGTCCAAAGACTAAGCTAGTCCGTTTGAGTCCCTTTTTGGATCCTAGCAGGGTAAATCCAAAATCGTAATCCTCAAGCTCTCTGCTTTTAGGCTAATAGGAGAAACAGCTGATGTCAAAAGCATGACAGCTTAATACTTTATTCATGCAGAGGCCTAAAAGTAATTTGTTTTTGACCAGGCTCTGATTACTTTTAAGCCTACATTAAGATCTACATGATTTTTTTTCAGACCTTGCTTGGGACTTAATCTGTAGGTGTTCCCGTAAGCATACCAGCTGGATTAGGTTCTATACAAAACACTGACAGCCCATGTCTTTTGGTGTTTTTTTGTTTGTTTGTTTTGTTTTTTAATAAAGAACCTCTTCCTGCAACTGCATTACGTACAGGTGTTTTTATGTTCAATAAGTCAGTGGTTAGATCAGTCACTCAGGAGATAGGCAATCTGCACTGAAGATTTTCTTCCCAAAGTAAGCAGATCTGCAACAACAGCAGAATCCTTTATGAGGGCCATTCTTCTTTCCCCTGCCTTAGGCTGAAGACAACACAGGAAGCACCTCTCCTCTTTCATTGCTACAGTGAAAGAACCTACTATGATTTTTTGCAATCACCTGACATCAGGTAGCGAAACGGAATACTGTTGCAAAAAGGGTTTTTGTTGCTAGTGCCCAGTGAACTTCTGAAGAACAACAGAAATGTCTCTTGGTTCTGAAGATTTCTGAGACAGCAATGCAGAGCTACTACGTGCAACTCAATACCTGTGTTGTTGAATCCATACTACTCAGTGGGGATAGAAAGACAGAAGACTCACGTCAACTGTGGCATGAAGTTCAGTGTTTCCAGAGAACCCGATTCATATATACCTCAGCTTGGCTGAACTGGGAAGCAGTGTTTCCTGGGCAATTATTGAAAATGCCTGGCCAGGACACTCCACACCCCACCCCCACCCCTTCTTCTGTGCCTTGGGTACCATATTTAAGAGATCACCTTCACAAAAATATTAAATTATCAATAGGTGATGGAAAACTTCTGAGGGTTGTGAGCAGGATCTCTAACAAGCTACTTCAAAGAGGTTCATTTCTATCTTGAAGATTTGTTACCATTTTGGTGCTTCACTGCATTGCTTTGCTGAGATAGTTTGACTTTAAAAACTACATTGCATTTTAACAAGAACTTCTTTCATTTCCCCTTATATAGCAGACTTAAAAAATCAGCACTTAAAACTGCCATTTTCAAAGACCATTGAAGTGGCAGCCCGCAGGACTGATAAGCAAACTTCTCTACAGCTGCTCTTGAATTGCTCACATGATGATGAAAGTAATGATCAAGCAGTTCAGACCCAAAATGGAAAGCAAGATTTCTTCCCCCACCCCACTATTTTAAACCCTACAAGGTAAAAGGTGGAGAAGTGGGGATGGGGAAAAATGAGGGGAAACTTAAGGGAAAGAACACAGCAGCAAATGCTCTGGATCCAGGCACAGGAAAACTGCTTTGATGCAGGAACTGATAGTCAGAAACTCTCCCCTGCCAACTTTGGTATCAGGAGTATGTCAGAAATGAGGGTGGAGATGGTGAAGGAAAAGGGAAATGCAGACATACGGTTTCTGCTGCTGCCTGAATTCTCTGGGGAGCGTTCATGCCCAGAAACAGCTAGTGACAAGTTATGGTATCTGAAGTTTCTGCAGATGCTTTGCTGTTCTAAGGAGTCAGATAATATCTTTTTAGATGTCCAAGTATAGCTTATAGAGCTTAACCTTTGTCAGTCATGTTTGGCTTCTATTGACTTGGAAGAGTTTTCAAACAGAAAAAGCTGCCAGACCATTACCAAACTTGTGTCTCCTACTATAGGAAGATGGGGGAATGGGCAAATAAAGTAAAAAAAATTAACTGTACTTAAAGTATCTGTCTTAATCTATTAGTGTCTTTGTTTTGTTAATCAGAGCCTACTGGCTTAATTATTAAGTTTTCCTTATATCATTAGTGCATAAAAGGTGAAATTTTTATACACAGCATGTTCGCAAAGTCTGAGATTTTGGGAATAAAATAACAGCTGCCAGATGTAACATGCCATTTTAAAGTCCTAGCTGAGCAATAAAAAAAAGTGCTTGCCTCTCATTGGAACAAAAAAGTGAATAAGACTTCACAAGAAGATATGAGATTTCATTTCAATGAATCCCTTGATTTTTGGGTTACATTCATGTCCATCAGCAATTAACTAGTGCCAACACATACCTATGTCAGATTGATGGTGAAACGTCTTGCAAGAGTAAAACCAAGTGTTTTTACGGAAGAAAAGCAGATTTTTTTTTTTTTTTTTTACTTACAGTAGTAACCTACTCTATTATTTTTTAAATAGAAATTTTAATACCTCATTGCACTGTTGTAAAGAAAGGCTGGTGGCATAAAAGAAGGCTGTTAGCTACTTATGGAAGACAAATTTCCATTGCAGCTGTAAGTCACAATGTCTCTACAATATCAGAGAGAAAAGTGTGTTGCCTGTTGTACCAATTTCTGAAAGAAATCTTTGAAACCATCTGCTTAAGAACAGGCCTGGTAGATACTATTCAGCTGAGAGTGTATGAGTTTAGTAACCCGAGGAAAGAAAATAGGCACTCAGGACATTTACGAAAAAGTGTTACTAGTGTCATCATTTTATGGCAATTGCAGACTTCGGTTATGTTTAATGGAATCATTTCTCCATGCCAAAAAAAATATTAAGAAAATAGCACAGACATTTGAATTTATAAAGACAGAGTCTGCAATGCCAGCTTCAGATTTTGTATTGTGCAACTACAAAGCTAATGCTTGCCTTCCTTTGAAAATAGAAGGTAAGTTTTTAGTACAGTGCTTTGGCCACACCATTTCCACAAATCAATCCAAATCCATTTAAAATGCATTCTGTTAAGTGCTTTTATGGAAGATAGAAGGGAACTAAAACACTAGGAAAGCATCTTTCCTTCCCTACCCATAAACAATAAAAGCTACCAGACTGAAGGCAGACAAACTTGGAGCCATCTTCATCATTTCATATTTCTCCTCCTGCTTGTCCAGCTTCTTCTTATCAAAATACTTACAGCTCTATTTCATGATAAAATTTGCATGCAACAGACACTCATACATCTATAAGAAAGAACCTATTAAAAATGGAGGTAAAAATTTTGCATTTTAGACCCTTACACTTAAGGACAGATGCTTCCAATGACTTTTTAAATGTTTGGCATAACCCTGTAGGAACAGCTTATGAATAAGTCCAATATACCTGTACAGTTCCAAAGCAATTTTGGGTAGTGTGCATATCCAGAAAACTAATATTTTTATATTTATGATAAAGGTGTACATACTAACCTGCCAAGGCCGATCCCAATCAAGAGGAATAGGAAATGCTCCAAACCAAGCTCCAAGTATACTGCACATGGTAGTAATCTGTAGACTGCTTTCCCAGATGCACATAGCTCTGTAAAAACAGTGTGTTACAAGACTTCAAGAGCAGCAGAAGCTACAATGTCAGAATGTTAGATCTGATTTCTCCCAAGATTTCTGAGACTACAAACAGATATAAAAATCCACATATTTGATAAATAGCATACAGGTTTCTCCTAAAAGATACAAACTATATGTAAAATGTAAGTTGCATATTTTAGCTATAATCACAATCTTTCTATACCACACATTCAAGAGCTTTTTTCCCCTTGAGATGTTTACTGCAAAAACTAATTTATATTACCTGGAAATACTCCTATTGAGCTTGAAACACTGCTTGACTGAACAAATGAAAATATCACAACGACACTGCATTGCAGGGGGAAGCAGACATGAAAGGGTGGCACGGGATTGTATAGAAAAGCACAAGCACAGTCATAAAGTACTCTATGGTGCAGACATGTTGTTATTATTTGATGACTATGACAATTTGAAATTTAAAATAGAAGTCTACTATGTGAATATTCCAAAGCAAATTTCCATCAGCTGAAAAGAAACATCGCAAATAAAAGTAACCTGCACGTTGCAGCCCTTCAGCAACATTGCGTCGAAGTTCAAGTACAGGGGCTGCAGGATAAATTAATTGCATGCTGAAGAACTCTTGCACTGCCAATCATGGGACCCGTCATATCATAAGAGATGTTAATGACTTCAGTTCTCAGTTTATAGCCTTCTACCACTACTGACTTCAAAGTTTTGGAAAAGTTGGGTTTCTGTTTAATAGATAAGCACTTATTGTCCATCACCAGTCTACCAAGTGATTGCTTTGCTTTTCTCGAGCCATGAACATTTGAGTGCTTGGTACCAATTAAGAAACAAGAACAGCAGAAGTTGAGAACACAGTAGGGCACAGCTCTGAGGCAGAACTGGGCTGAAATCCCTGCTCCAAATCAGTAAGGTAAGGGATCTGAATCTGAAGTTTGCTACCTCTCAGATTATAAACACAAACCTAGCTTTAGCTAATAGAAGAAAAAAGATGTGCATGTTTATGGCCAGAAGACTAGATGGATAGTAAACTCTGAACTCCACATGTGCTGTTTAGGTTGCATGATGTGAAAGCTTTAACCCTACACCTTGTTTTGAAGAGTCTAAAATTTCTGACTTTACTTCTGAGTACACCTAACTCACTGCTGCATTCGCTATTGACCAAATGGCTCACAAGTGTAAAGCAAACGTTTTTCATTGTTTGCAAAATAAAGGGCATACAGACTATAATATTTACTGTGCAGCGTTGACATTTTGAGCAAACTGTTTCTTCTACAATAACCCCACCCCTTTAATTTACAACACTGCATTTCAATTCACAATCCTACCCGCTTGAGATTTTTTTTTTAAAGGGAAAGATCCTGATTTAACTATAAAACTGTTTAGGAGTCTGCACATAGAAAATTCTTGTAAATTATTTTCAGAAACTGAATAACTGAGCGGAGAGCTGTTAGGCAGCATGGGGAAGAGAACATTCACTACAGCCTTAAAGCAGTGAAAGAGCCAGCAGAATATATACCGAGGACTGACTGAGGTACATTTATACCCCACAAGACATGTGAACTGGTAAATCTGCACACATGCTGCTGCACCATATGGAGATGTCAGACTGAGTCCAAAAGCAAAACAACAGAATTAGCAAGGCACAGTGCCCAAATGAAGAATAGCCATTGGTAGCTTGGCAACCGTTGGAGCTGCTAATTCAACCACTCTGCAGCATGGACACTGGCTGCTCAAACACAGCCTGACTTATGCTCCAACATTATCCTGAAGGAAAGATGCTTTGATTATTCTCTTTTCTTCGTCAAATGTCGCCTATCGGGATTTTTGCAGGTATTCTTTAACCCATTAACCCATCACATAAACCCCTCATTTGCACGAGGCTAACAATTGCAGCAACATTTATAAACTTTGAGTTTTACAGGTTTCTTTATTTTTTAACTATGAATAAACTACAACTAAGATCACTCTGCAGGCAAAACTAGCAATATTTAAGATAATAAATTATCACTAGTGGCACAAAGGCCTTTTAAAACCTGAAGTAATTATTTAACCCCTTTAAATAATACATTAAGTGCTATTTTAAATAAGGTTTGAATTAAGAGGTTAGCTAAGATAAAAGAATTTATTAAGACAGGTCCTGGATAGACAAGATCTGGAATTTTGGGCTGTGGCAGGACTGAAATACTGAGCGGCACTGAGTATTTGATGATGCCTACCTTTACAAAGGACATTTCCAAGTCCGTAAGAGTATGCAGTTCACAAACAAGTGATAAAATAGGTGAAATGAAAACTGGAAGGAGCCCTAAAGTTAGGGCTTTACACTATTTTTTGGCAAGCTCCAAATAAAATCTATTTCCTACCCAAGTGACATCTTATAATTGCTATTATACCAGAAATTTCAACACAATTACTCAGACTAGTGATTTGAAATAAACAGTCTCCAAAAGGAGCAATAAAAATCAGCAATTGAAAGCTGATTTCTTAAAGGCTTTTATGCAGGCGGCTGTTTCAGCCAACAACTACTGAAAAGCCGTTTAAAGAATAGTCACCTGCTTCCATTAGTGCTGATAACCCTTTCTGTAGCTGTTATTTCCCTCTATCTGCTTACAGCAGCACATGATAGCATGTGATCAGTGTTATGACATTGGTCACAACACTAGACATCAGAATACAGAGTCCAGAGATAGCTGGCATGGGCTGACCCCTTCCCAAACATGGAATTAGTGAAAACAGCCTACTTAGAATTGAAATTTTTACGATGGAGAATACACAAACTTATTTTTCTCACACATTCTATATGTACATAGACTACAAATACGCATGTAAGAACATTTCTTAAAGTAATTAAAAAAAAAAGGTCTATTTAGTCCATCAAATCGACATTTCCAATTCAAAAGTGTACTCAGTTTGAAAACATGGAGCACATGCAATTTTCTGTCTGAGCTACAACTGTGTTTCATGCAATTGTTTCATGTATATAAAAAACCCACAAAAAAACCAACCAAACAACACCTCCCCTCCACCCCAACAACAACCCAAACTTTATAATACAAACAATAAATCTGCAGTGTCACAGATTACATGTTCTCATGAGACGGCACATATAATCCACTTCCTAGAGGCATGGGCACTTAAAAGACTGATCTTGTAGTAACCTTATTAGAAGTGATTTTACTAGCAGTGACTGCACTTCCAAGTGCTAAAAGTAGAAACAGAGAAAGCTAAGCATCTCTGCAGAAAAAATAAGCACTTTGCAAGATTATCCCCAAAATATTTAAGTTGGACTGACTCAGTTGTACCATAGCTATTATGCAGTAGATTACATACAAGTTACTTGAATGTAACTTTACGAATAGTCCTATGACAAGGCATTACGTGCATCAGTATCTTCACACTACACCACTTAAAACATAGCAGAAAGCTATCCAGAGCAATAACTAGGTAATTAATATCCGTTACTTATTTACACTTGATCTATCAAGATAAACTTTCTTTTTCTAGATGTCTTTTTCTGTTTTTCTGCAAAGACAATAGCACAAGCACATTTTGATCTTAGAAATATTACACAGGCAAATAAGAGTAACAAAAATAAATACAAGTGGTTACTTAAGTCTAAATTGTATTCAGATATTTTTAAAACACATTCCTTTTTCATACTAAGCTATATGCTCAGACTTTCCAGCTTTCTGTTCCAGTGCAATTCAATTCGCTAAACTCTTCTTTCGAGGCAAACAGCTGTGTTGATATTACCTAACCATCCTTTTCCTCCATTCAACCAGTCCCACCTCATTCCACATGATTAAGTTAGAGACAACCTTTCAATACATCATGTCTACACTCAGCTCACGTCTAAATGCAAGATGTTCCAATTCATTCATGAGGTTAAATGAAAAAACATAGGATTATTTTTAAACGAGCAGCTTGCTACAATCCATAAAAAAATTTGTTACAATATTTCTTTGTAGTCTATTTTCCTTCAAAGGCTAGTCTAAATAAACATCATTATTAAATAGACTTTTTATTCAGGTAACATCACATGGCTCACTAGTAAGGAGTACGTACAAGCTGTCACAGCAAAAATGTCAAAACAAGACTACTTTGTTTCCTATGCAATAATTGTGCTGAAATAACATTAAGATCTAGACTAGGAAAGAAAGAAATTGACAGGCATTCAAAATCTAACCTGGCACAAAGACAGACTGTTGTCAAACATCTGTTACTTCAATTCAACTATTATTTCCAGTTGCAAAACCTCCAAAGATGACTAAGTGAATCAGCAATGATTTGTTTTGGCTAAACAACTCCATGCTTTTATGAAAGTCTATTCAACCTTCCCACTGAAAATAAAAAAAACAAGCAAAACTGACTTGAATAAGGATTCAGTAAGCTGACAACTGCAATAAACCAAAAGTCAATACCTGAAACAACTATAAAAAGTCTACTTTTGTCCCCCTCTACAGAAGTTTCAACCAAAAGTAACTCCACAGGTCAGCAGCATTATACAACTTTTCACTTTCTTTTGAGATGAGACTTCACCCTTATGAACTAGGAAAAGGGAACAAATGCTAACATCTTATTATTAAATCTCAAGCATGTGTGGGACTTCTTTATGTTTCAGCATCCCAGTCTTTCAAAAATCCTGTTATTTAGTCAGTGAAAAAAGGCAGACGAGATAGAATACTTCTGAAAAATATCTTTGATACATGCTAATGCCATGGCTGTCACTGAGATGAAAATGAGGTAAAAAGGCCTGTTTTACTTTAAACATACTCCTGAAAAAAATTAATGCTTTAAAACTCTGACACTGAAAACAGCTTTCTTCAAAATTTGAAAAAGAGCAAAAAAGATTACATGCTTATGACCACAGTAAATTATATGTCATTTTCATCATTATATTCAAGTTAAAAATACTGTTAAAATAGTGTTTGCTTTGGCTTGTTATTCCCACTTTAAAAGCTGTATTTACTATTGGATCTTGTGCAAGATTATCCCTGTACAGCTCAGTCTCAGGTCTCCTCTTTATTTGGCAACCATCATACTGGACTGCACAATGGCTTTACACCAGTTTGAAACTTTACTTCCTTCAAACACATATAAAGTGAGGTTTAGTGCCTGGACACCAAAAATAAGAAGCCAGTTTTCTGAATCAATGTCTTCAAAATAAATAATTATTTTCTTTGTCAGAAAAGATTTCATAAGCCTGTAATTACACATATGAAAAACACCCATAATTCAGGAAGTTTTCCTTTCTTCACAAAAAATTCCACGATATATTGTTTACATCAATTCTGTCCACTTTTATTCAGAGTAAAATCAGAAACTTTAGGATAGAACTTACCCATTTTTACTAAATACCCGTATCCATGCTTGTATGTTTGGTCCCAGTATACACAAGCATTGTAAAGTAGTAAAGGTAGACAGTAGAACTGCAAACAAAAATGTCTCAGTCACTGACCTACAAAGAAGGAATATAACAAAATTAAGTGAGGTAGTTACTAATTTTATAAGAGTTCCAAGATTTAGTAAAAAAAACCCCTCTAAGTCAACTTGTGAAAGCATGCATGCTTTCTTAAACCGCATATAAAAGAATGAAGTATTTTCTTCTCACTCTGTAGAATAGTAAAGAAAGAGGGAAAGAATTCCAGTATTTGTTTGTTATCTCAACAAAGACTGAAATGCAGTGATTATTTTAAATGTCTGATACCTGTAACATTTTAAAAAACACAGGTGTACCTCATATAGAACACTACTTCTGAATTGAAGTACACTTGGGTATTTACTTCATTATTCCATTTATTTTTCTAGTTTGATGTTGTGGAAGCAACCATGAAACCAAACTGCATGACGCCATTGTTAGTCAGTAACTTACTATCTCTCTCAGAAATCAGGCTGCTTCATGCCTCTTTTTTTTTTCCCCCCTTTTTAATCATTCCTAAAAATTAAAACACTAATATCAAAAGGATGAAAGATATGCTAGGTACATGTTTTAGAATCTTATGGAGAAAATGACTAAATGAAACTTGGAAAAAGTATTTGTACCCATATGTTTAACACTAATATTAAAGTAAAAGGACTTGTTTGTAACTGTTGTGAACAACACATCTCCAAATACACAGAAACTGTAAAAAACAGCTTCTAAAAAACCCAAAAACCCCCAAAACCCAAACCAGCCACCCTTCTTCCCCCAGCCAGGAGCTTATCCTTTAACTTCCAATGTACCAGGAAATATGTGCTCCATAAAGAACAATAATCGCATGAAATAGTATGCAAGACATGAAAAAGTACATACAGCATTTTAGAAATCTGGATATCTAAAAAAAAGCAATAAAGTATCAGAATAATGTTTCAAAAGAAAAGAGAACATAAGTAACATACATAGTCTATACCTTATCAAAAGCATTGCACTCTACCTATTTCTTTAATTTCCGCTACAGCACAGTATGATGATAGCACGGCATATTTCAAAACAGTTTTCCCTATGTTTAATACTTTAAATAATTGATTAAAAATTATCACACTCCATCTAAATTTTTTTCATGCACCCTAGTATAATAAGGCAAACATACAAAAGATATAACTGGAAATGACAAGAGAACAGAGAAAATTTTATTGGATATTTTTACATTTCTGTTTTACATCTGAGCATTATATCCATTCATTAAAAGGCATCTTTCACAGAAAGTGAAAAAAATATTTAAAAGCAAGAAAATATGTAACATGGAAAAAAAAAAAAAAAGAGAGACATTCAGAATCAAATGTAATACTTAAAATTACATGAAATAAAAACCACTACATTTTGAACTTGGCATCTTAAATCCTAAACCCATTTCAGAAATGTCCATGACTTTCTATAAATCTGCAAAACATAATTTTCTATGAATTTAAACAACAGTTTCTGGGTACTCACTATATCATAAAGAAACATAGCCATTTGATAAACAGTTCTGGTTAGGTTTGTTCTGATCAGGTCACCGATGGAAACCCATAATTTCACTTGAACATTTTTTTTTAATGTTTATTCCTTATGCTAGGCTGGGATGAAATCTCAGCTAGAACACGAAGCCTGCTTCATTTTTAAATCACAGATGGGTAAAATACTTGTTTTCCATAATGACTTTGTGTATTTCACATCCCCCTCAAGTCAGCAAAACTAGACAGAAGCTTTGCATACAAAGATACCGCTTTCGAGGATGTTTGCTTAAACGTTTAAGAATCACCACATCAGAGCACTGAATCATGTCTGACTCAGCAAGTTGGGAGTGCAAGATTATCCACCTGACTTCAAAATGCTGGTGTATTCCCCCACTCCTGAACAAGTTGTGTGCTGCTCCAAAATCGCTCTGTTCAAACCTGTTCCATTGGGATTCATACCTTTAATGCTCACATTACAAACTGTAACTACTAAAATTTCTCCCAAATTTAGATTCTTCTCTATGCAAATTTCACCATTCAAGGAAATGTAGCCATTTTAATACTTTTCCACGTCATTTTTTAAAATTTACTGACTTTGGTTAAATTGCAATGAGCTAGTCTCTCTTTTGTGTCTCAAATTCTAAAAACTGTTTATTTTCCTTTAAAGTTATTAGAAACTTATAACTACACATGAGAGAAGTGTTTCTTCGTAACGCTGAAGGTCAGACCTGGACTATGAAATGAGTTCTGCGCCCATTCAATTTTGCTGATTTTTGCCACCATGCAAATTGTTGGAAGATCAACGGCTGGGACTACAAACAGCAATATGTTGACAAGAAAGAGGAAAGGCACAGAATCGCTCACCTGAACAGGTTATTTACAGGTAGAGAAAGTTTAACGTCACAAAAATATTGGAGAAGTTTCAAAAGGTGCTACACTCAGTTCATTCATGAAAAACAAGAATTCACCACCAAAAATTGTCCTTTCTTTCTGATTATTTCAGTGAAAGAATTTGCTTCCGCTCCGTATTGTCTGGTAGCGATTTAAGAGTAACAATCTTACCTTGTGAGCAAACGAACTTCTCTTAGGAGACAGATTTGGTTTAAGGACTAAGTGCAAGATTATACTAAGGGTACTAACGCAAACAGAACAAATACACAGCCACGCGAGGTGTGTTCCCAAAACGCTGAATCCGTCCCAGAAGAAAGCCGGAACAACCGCTGTCAGAATAACTGAAAAAACACAGAGGAGGTTGGCAGCCAAGAGCCTCCTTACTTCTGCTTCTTTCATCGTGGTCCCTATCAACCGGCCACCTGCAAGACAGCACGTCGCACCCCGTTACTGACACACAGCAGCAGCAGCACAGGATTGGTTTTTTCCTAGTCGCAATACGCAAGGCAGAGCCCTGGGCTTAGTTTGGGGGTGACAGCGATGATTTTGGGGCAGAAGAACGTCGTTCGTTTAAAAATCAACCCCAAGCCCAGGGACGCAGCAGCAGCAGCAGCGCGCTAAAAGCTGGGCGAGCCGAGCGCTCGCACCGAGCCGGCAGCCTGCCCCCGCGCCGGCGACCCCCCACGCCACCGAG